TTGTCCACCAGCCCTCTAGTATATATATAAAGGCTAAGCAACCACCTGACTGTCCGACCAGCCAGTAGGTATGACGCTCACTGACCACTAGGGGGCAGACGCTCAATGCAGGAGCTGCTGAGTTATGGTGACTTCACAGCGGTTCTCGGTTCTCAGGTGACGCACCCTGGAACCAGAGAGGAGGGAGCCCGATTCCTCATGGACTGCATGATTGCCATGGATCATGTTGTTGCTGGGGTACTGTCGGGGCCCCCAATCTGGTTTACTGCCAAGCTGCAGTAACCTCAGACGCCCTTCACCCTTTGAGCTGCAGCGCTGCCCCAGGTGCAGCCCGGCAGGGGAGGAATCGTGGGAGGTTGGTTCTTGGGCATGTCAGCCAGTCTCGCCCAGTCCCGCCCTGCCGGCCACCTTCTAATTAATTTCCTTTCAATATGCATGAATCCGTGCACCGGGCCACTGGTTTAAGCATAAATGTAGATATTGGCTTTTAGGAAACTTAATATTATTACAGCCCTGATCAGAAGAATAATTTTTTCCTTGTAGTCTCGTGTGTAAAATGAAGGCAGTGCAGTTTCTGTAGGTTTTGATGTTAGATGTGAAATGTGTATATCACCCATCTTTCTTGCGGAAGTTAGTTATTTTTTGTAAAATTTATAAAACTTGTTTTCCTAAAACAAGTTTCATAAGGTAAAAAACAGTTTCTGAAATTAAATACTATTTATTTTATTTAGGAAAGCTCATTTTATCTGAATTGTACAATGACCATATGAAAACTATAAAAGGTTCTCATACTCAGTGACTCGACTTTGTTCATATCCCTACCAATTGCTACATATAAGGTAAAAGCAAACATTTTTTTTTAAAGCCAAACAGGTAACTACATAACCATACAATGCAAACATTTTTTTCAAGTAAGATTAACAAACTGCAGGACTTTAAGCATTGCACATATTATAATAGGGCAAATACTGCTGCTTCAGATAGCAGCTGTAACTCCAGAGCTGAAACAGACAAACGTTGTTAAAACGCCAACACGAAGCAGGAGCCCTTAGGACCCCGTCTCAGAGGAAACCCACGTTGCTGGCACCCACTGAGGCTCCTCCTGAGCCTTCTGAACTGCGGACACCAACTGGGCACATGCATCTTGCAAGATGTCATTCACAATCACGTGATCAAAAAACTGGCCAAACTGAGTCTCCATTTTTTGGGCTAAATCCTCCATCTCTTGTAGGTCTTCATCCTTCAGGAGAAGTGAAAGAATGCGGATAGTACAAACTCAACGAGATGATAGCAGTTTGTTACGCTGTTACATTCAGATGCAAACTATTTTTTAAAAATTAAGTCAAATCAGTGTCCTCTATTTTAAGCCAAAAAACATATGACTCTTTCGTTAGTCTTACTAATGTTTCCCTGGTCAAGGTTTTCCAAAATTGAATGATGGTTTGTAGACAGACCAATCCTCTCAAGATCTCATTTGGACTTAAATTATCCTATTATCTAAACATTTGGAGCTCTCAAACCATATACAACATAAAACCAAAAAATGTTTACCAGTTAAATGTAAATAAAACTTAAACATAAATTTTAAATAAACATTAATCTAAAAAGAATGGTGTTATTTTGTAGATACAAAAGGGTCACTTTTAGCATGAGGATGGTAAGATGGTTCTATTGAATAGGCATACCTAAATTACACTTGGCTTCATGATGACTTAATTCACCTATAATATTGTCTATTTCTACTATTGTGAAATGTTCATCCAGTGAAGGGTATTTGGCCTTCACTTGACGCTAATGCATTAAGTTCATTTCTGTTTTCTAGTTTGTCCACAACAATTAAAATAGCACAACTTGTTGTCAATACAATCATAAACACAAATATTAATGCAGACACTGAAATCTTGTGGCAGTACTCCTGTACAAGGTGACCATACACATGATCCAGAAATACTTTTGTTAATTTGTCTACGCTGTCGTAAAAAATGAGAGAGAACACAGTTTTAAATGCCATTAGACTCAGAGAACATATCCATGGAATCCACTGTCTGGAGAATCAGACTTCCATACAGAAGTCATTGAAGTAAAAGGAGATACAAATAATGAGAGATGAAGGATAATATAAAGATGCCTATGCTCACTTAGGCAACATACACACTATAATTAGAATGATACAGGCATTAGTATGGTCCCTATGTAAAGGATGGCATGCAAATTCATGGCACATTTCATATGTTTAATTTCAGTTTTGCAAGACAAAAAAGTTCTGGAGATCTTTTTCACAACGTAAATAAACAACACTACTGAACTATACCCTTAAAATGGTTGAGATGGTAAGTTTTGTGTTTTATGTTACATGTTGGTTTTTTTTTACCACATACACAAAAATAAGTGGAAGTAATATCTTGATCTAGACGATGGCCATCTGGGTGCATAGACATGTAAAAATTCATTGAGCTGTACACCTAAGACTTACACACCTTGCTGAATATATGCTATAACTTAAAATATTTAAAGTAGATTTAATTTTAAAAACTGGGGTTGTGAGGGGAAACAGCAATCCTAGGAAAAGTTCACTGATTAATCCCACCTGGCTTGGCCCCTCTATTATTACCATCTCCATTAACATATGTTTTCATGTTTAGAAATACATATATATAAAGATACCTCATTACAGATGAGATATATTCGCTAAAGCATTTAAGAAGTTAACCCCCAAATGTTTTTATAAAATAAATAATTCATTTTAAATACAGATATCAGGCTTGTGCACATCCAATTTCTATGTGGCTTTGCAAACTGTGGTTTGAAGGGTTAAGCTAGATACTCACCCTCCAAAAAAAGAAGAAGAAAAAACAAGAGTAGCATTATAATAGTTATTAAACTTTACTTTAATATTTATAAGCGATGTCCAGGAAAGATAAATCATAAGGCATTATTCATTAGAAACAAGAGTTATATCCCTTAACATAGGAGGCTGTGGAAACAGTACAGTGATTTTTACCTTGAATTTCATGTCCACAAAGTAGTCTGTAATGATCTTGGCATTTTTTCGAGATTGCTTCATACAACTCAGGTTAGATGGCTTTATAAATATGACATAGGGCTTCAGTTCATGGGTTCGAGCCACTTGAATACCCTACACAGAAATTAAGTGCACATTTAAAAACAGAATCCCTACCCTAGCCAGTGTGGCCCAGTTGGTTGGAGCGTCATCTCATATACAAGAAGGTGGTGGGTTCCATTCCTCATCAGGGCGGGGTCAATCTCTGGTCAGAGCAACCAATCAATTCCCTCTCTCTCTCTCTCATCAATAAAAAAAAATAGCCTTTGGTGAGAATTAAAAACATACACATACAAGTCCTAATTTCCTAGAGTCAACATGAATGTTCTCAAAATTTCTCAGACCAGAAATTAGTAATTATTTGTAGCCAGAGTATATTCTCATGTGCCCCCAAGTTCTCAACTCTAAAAAACATTTTAATAATC